AACAAAATGAAAAATTACCAGACTTACTAAAAACAAATAAAAACACGCACAATTAATTTCCCTAACTAAATCTGAGAAAGAGTAAAATTTTCCCAATGTTGATGAATATTGGGAAAAAACAGGACCTCCCCATTTCCACTGATAGTAGTATAAACTTATACCATAATTCAGATAAAGAATTTTGCAAAAAATATCAAAAGCACTAAATATTGGCATATTTATCATCACAAAAATCTTCTATAAGAATGTGTGCATAGATAGATGTGCAAAATGGCGGTGGAATAAGTGGAAGCAACAATGACAAGCTCCCAGGACTAAACTGAAATTACAACTAAAATACAGAAAAACCATCCTGAATAGTCAACTGAACACCAGCTGGAGTGAACCCAGATAACCAAGGACAGAAAGTGGAGACCACAAAGAGACTGGTAGGAAGTGCAGAGGTGCAAGAGGGCTAGCTGGGCTCCCACAGACATCAGCTGAAGTTCCGGAGGGATATCTCAGCTGTGGGGGGAGAGGGGAGTTCCTACTGAGAACTCTGGAGTCTAATCCCCAAGCTGGGCCCCCAGCTAAGAGCACCAGAATTGAGAAGGGTCCCCACTTATCATCTGTCTATGAAAAGCAGCAGAATTGCAGTCTGCCAGGGAGAGACAGCTGGAAACACAGGCACCTTCTTAAAAGGCCAACTCACAAAATTAAGTGTGCACCCACTCACCATGGACTCCAGCAGAGGGAGGGCAGAGTGCACTGGAGCTGTAGGAGCAGAAGCCAGGGTTGGGGGCTCTGGGGTTAGAGCTTGGAAGACAAACACCACAGTTTCCTGAGCCAAGTCATTCCCTCATATGGCAGAGGACATCCATCACCAGCAGACCATTACTATCCAGGCAGGTTTTGTCCCTCTGGGGAGCAGGGGGTTGGTAGGGGGAGCAACTGCTTTTTTAATAAAAACTCCCAGCAAAGTGGGAATAGAGGGACCATACATCAACATAATAAAGGCCATATATGACAAACCTACACCCAACATCATACTCAATGGGCAAAAACTAAAAGCATTCCCCCTAAGAACAGGTACAAGACAGTGATGTCCACTTTCACCACTCTTATTCAACACTAGTGGCCTGGTGCACAAAATTCGTGCACATTAAAAGGGGATTAATTAGAGGAAATATTTTAATATTGCTATTTGCCCTTTCTCTATAATAGAAGTGTCAGAGATGAAAGAAAATTAGTAAAATGTATATGAAAATCTTCCTCCTGTCAGAGTCTGAGGTGCACCACAGGACCCAGATTCAAGTCCCCGCCCACCCATGTGCGCCTCGAAATCGCGTGAGACCCAAACCCGGCCGGTCCTACCCTTGTCAAGCCCCGCCAGGGCGGGGTCACAGCATGAGGTCCCCCATCAAGCCCCACCGGGTTGGGGGGGTGGGGGGGGCACGGCCTGAGGTCCCTGCTGATTGCTCGTGAAGGCTCGTTACAGAAACTCAGCCTCTGCTGTGGGTGCAGCCATCTTGTGTTACAGAAACCCCTTCTCTGCTGTGGGTGCCAACATCTTTGTGGCGAAGTGACGGTCAATTTGCATATTCCCTCTTTATTATATAGGATAGTACTGTAAGTCTTAGCCACAGTGATTAAACAAGAAAAAAAAAGCATCCAAATTGGAAAGGAGAAAGTAAAACTCTCATTATTCGCAGATGGCATATTGTACACAGAAAACCCTAGAGACACCATCAAAAACACTACTAGATTTAATAAATGAATTCAGCAACGTAGCAGGATACAAAATTAACACCCAGAAATCGATGGCATTTCAATACACTAAAAATGGATTCTCAGAAAGAGAAACTAAACAAACAATCCCACTTACTATTACCATAAAAAAAAATTAAGATACTTAGGGAGTAACTTAAACAAGGAGGTAAAAGACTTGTACTCAGAAAACTATAGGACGCTGAAAAAAAGATAAAAACAAGTGGAAGAATCCTACATAATAAAAAGTTAACATGCAAAAAATGGTCGTCACACCTTCATGCCATAATGGCTCAGACACTCAACACTGGGGAGAGAGAAATGGGGACCAGCCAAGCACAAATGAGCTCCCAAGAGATGAATGGGGACCAGCCAGGCGCAAATGAGCTCCCGAGAGAGGAATGAGGACCAGCCAGGCACAAATGAGCTCATGAAAGAGGAATGGGGACCAGCCAGGCTGTGGCCCGGGAGAGGGACAAGCCGCCTGCTCCGCGGTCACAGGTGCCTGTGGCTGTGGCCCGGGCGAAGCCAGCCCGTGTACTGGGTGCCTGCGGCCAGCCAGAGGGAGGGAAGCCCAGGTCCTGGGTGTGGGGCTAGACGGTTAGGGGCAATCAGGACAGCAGGGGAGCAGTTAGCGATGATCAGGCAGGCAGGCGAGCAGTTAGAAGCCAGCGGTCCCAGATTGCGAGAGGCAATCGGACATCCCCCAAGGGGTCCTGGATTGGAGAGGGTGCAGGCCGGGCTGAGGGCTCCTCCCCCACCCATGCACAAATTTCGTGCACCAGGCCTCTAGTATACCATATTCATTGATTGGTAGAATTAACATCATTAAAATGTCCATATTACCTAAAGCAATTTATAGATTCAATGCAATCCCTATTAAAATACCAACAGTATATTTCACATATCTAGAACAAATACTCCAAAAATTAATATGGAACCAAAAAAGACCCCGAATAGCTGCAGCAATCTTGAGAAAGAAGAACAAAGTTGAAGGGATCATAATACCAGATATCAAGTTATATTACAAAGCCACTTTGCTCAAAACAGCCTGATACTATCACAAGAATAGGCATAAAGATCAATGGAACAGAACAGAGACCACAGAAATCACACCAAGTGATTATGCTGAATTAATATTTGACTAAGGAGGCAAGAACATACAATAGAGTCAAGACAGTCTCTTCAATAAACAGTGTTGGGAAAATTAGACAGATGCAAAAAAATGAGACTAAACCAACTTACACCATACTAAAAATAAACTCAAAATGAATAAAAGATTTAAATGTAATTTGGAAACCATAAAAATACTAGTCTCAGACATCTCTCATAGCAAAATGTTTACAGATACATCTCCCAGAGCAAAGGAAACTAAGAAGAAAAGAAACAAATGGGAGTACATCAATAGAAAAAGCTTCTGCATAGTGAAATAAACCATCAACAAAGTGAAAAGGGAGCCCACTGTATGGGAGAATATATTTGGCAATGATACATCTGATAAACGGTTAATATCCAAAATATATAAGGAACTCATACAATTTAACAAAGGAAGATAAACAAGTCAATTAAAAAATGGGCAAAGGAACTAAATAGACACTTCTCCAAAGCAGACATTCAGATGGATAAGAGACATATGAAAAAATGCTCACAGTCACTGATCATCAGAGAGATGAAAATCAGAAGGACAATGAAGTATCACTTCCCACCTGTCAGAATGGCTACATCAACAAATGGCAAGTGCTGGCAAGGATGTGGCAAAAAGAGATCCCTAGTACACTGCTGGTGGGAATGCAGACTGGTGCATCCACTATGCAAAACAGTATGGAGTTTCCTCAAAAAATTAAATTATGTAACTGCCATTTGACCTAGTGACCACACTTCCAGGAATATATCCTAAAAACCTGAAACACCAAACAGAAAGAAAGTATGCTACCCTATGTTCATAGTAGGGCAATTTACAATAGCTATGATCTGTAAACAGCCCAAATACCCATCAATAGATGAGTGGATAAAAAAGCTATAGCACATTTATACCATGGAATACTATGCAGCAGTAAAAAAGAAGCATTTCTTACCCTTTGAGACAGCCTGGATGGACCTGAAGAATATTATGCTAAGCGAAATAAGCCAGTCAGAGAAAGGTAAGTATCACATGATCTCACTCATATGTGTGAACAAAATAAACTGATGAAGAAAATAGGTCTAGAGATATAGAAGCTTGGAAGAGACTGTGTAATCTGAGGGAAGGTGGAGATAGGTGGGTACAGATCAACAAATTAAGTTGTATGCATATAATCATTATCCATGGACACAGACAACAGGGTGGTGAAGGCCTAGGGTGGTGGGCGGGGGCAGCTGGCAGGGGTCAACTGTGGGGAGTAAATGGGGTGTATGCAATACTTTCAACAATATAGATTTTTTAAAAAGAATGTGTACATGTATATATACATATAAATGATAATGGAAGTTAATGACAAATGCACCACAATAATTTTATCTCAACAGTGGGATTATTGCTTATTTAATTTTCTTTTTGTTTATTTAGATCAGTGGTTCTCAACCTTCCTAATGCCTCGACCCTTTAATACAGTTCCTCATGTTGTGGTGACCCCCAACCATAAAATTATTTTCGTTGCTACTTCATAACTGTAATTTTGCTACTGTTATGAATCGTAAATATCTGATATGCAGGATGTATTTTCATTATTACAAATTGAACATAATGAAAGCATAGTGATTAATCACAAAAACAATATGTAACTATATATTCAATATGTGTTTTCCGATGGTCTTAGGCGATCCCTGTGAAAGGGTCGTTCGACCCCCAAAAGGGTTGCGACCTACAGGTTGAGAACCGCTGATTTAGATATTTGATAATAAACATATAACTTTGGTCCTAACAACAGTTATTTTTTTTTAATATATTTTTTATTGTTGATAGTATTACAAATATGTCCCATTTAAGGCCAGTTATTTTTCTAAATCATGTAATCTTAGCAGTACAAATAACCCTCTTTCCACCAAAATTCAATTCCACAGAACTGTATGTAAACTCCCATGAGAACAGAGATCATGATTTTCTTACTTTTAGATTTCCTACCCCCAAAAGTAGCATAATCCTTGACAGACAATAAATGGTTAATAAATATTTGTTAAATGGATGACATTTACAAATTCCCACTACATTTTCTCTCATATGCATTCCTTACAATTTGAGTGTCTGTTGAATGAAAATAATTTTTTTTATCATATACCTTTAAAGTCTCTTTGAGAGTTTGTTTCAAGTTGCTGTGATTGTGCCACTGTTTTCAACATCTCCTGAATTACTACCCGGTCACTATTTCCAGCATCACTATATGAACAGAAATAATGATTAAAAATACACACACACATCACTAACAAACAAAAATAATGATTAAAAAAATACACACACACACAACTTGAAAGTATTATGCCCTTATTGTTAATGTTATTATAAGAAAAATGTTGGATATTAAGTAGTTACAATTTTAATCAAAATTCATAAAACCTAATTACATTCACAAAACATTAAAACTGAGATATTTTAGGGTTATTAAAAATACTAACAATATTCCATATTTAATTACAATTTAACCTCTGAAAACACTAAGTTTACTGTTACTTAAAAAGAGCAGTAACTAATAATTAACAGTTCAATTACTTTAACACTTCTGTATACACTATAGTTACTACCTAGTTACAGCTAATTTTCTTGATTATCTAGAATTACTCATAATATAGAAATAACTATTTGAAACAAATTTAACTTCCATTCTTCTTCCCCATCATCAAAACAGCAAAGATCTGAGAGAGAACAACTCTAGACACACCTGCTCCCAGCACTAGCATGGAGCTGACTCCCTTAGCAAGGCAATGGGATAAGCAAATGGAATTTAAGATACAAAGTCAGAACTCTATAAGCTGTTAACTGATTATAGGCATTATCTATCATTTATACCCACATATTGCTTTAGCATTTAAGTCATGTGCCTCACAAACCAACCTAAGTCACTGGGTTAATTTAGGCTGAATGTCAATTTCAAACATCTGAAAAACAATCAGCTTAATCTCTAATTGACTATTCTTGCTACAGAGGAACTCACAATGAGAAAGATGGCAAAGCAATCAGTTTTATTTTCCTAGCCATCAAATCTTTCTCAATTCACTATTAGGTCAATATACCTACAGTGTCTTTTTTATGATAATTTTCTAGTCAAGAATCTAAACCATTTTCCTTTTGTCTATGGAATTAAAACTTTTTCTACATTTATGATCAAATCCTTCCCACCAACATTATTTCTCTTGATTTTCTTTGACATACCTAGGGAAAATCCTATGTACTAAAAGGCTAATATGCAAATCGAATGAATGGAGGCACTACCAGTCACTATGACGTGTACTGACCACCAGGGGGCATATGCTCAATGCAGGAGCTGCCCCCTGGTGATCAGTGTGCTCCCACAGGGGAGCGCTGTTCAGCCAGAAGCCCTGAGCCAGGCTCACAGCTGGTGAGCGCAGCGGGGTGGTGGGAGCCTCTCCCACCTCCACAGCAGCGCTAAATGATGTCCGACTGATGGCTTAGGCCCGCTCTCCCTGAGGAGCGGGCCAAAAGCCGGTCAGTCGAACATTCCCCCGAGGGCTCCCGGACTGCAGAGGGTGCAGGCCAAGGATGAGGGATCTCTCCCCCCCCCCCCCCCCCGAGTGCACAAATTTTGTGCACCGGGCCTCTAGTAATAATACCTATCAGGATTGTTTTGAGGGCTAAATAATCCATGTAAAACTTTTCTCAGGGTGCCTTATAGTGAATACATATTAGCTTATAATCCTATTCCTCCTGCTCCGTTCAGTCTTGCTCATTAGTTCTGAATTAGTTAATAATTTTTTTAAAACTTACTATGTACTTTACTTTGTGTAAAACACCAAGCTCTGTAAAGCAAGAAAACTTAATTATCAAAATTATTTGAATGAGGGGTTCTCAGAGAGAAGGCAAATTGAGAGGGTCTAGGCCAGGGGTGGGCAACCTTTTTGTGAGTGCGTGCCAAAACCAGCAAAATCTCTGACTCAAAATTCTTCTGTGTGCCAACCCTAATTTTTTGAGAATATGTTACACCTACTTAATATCTCTTAAAGGTGTACGTATGTGAAGAACTTTGAAGAAATAATAAAATTCATTTGAGCGACAAAAACACAGTATATGATGATGAAAAATACATTTTTTAATGTATACATGTACACTGATAGTCCGACAGAAAACTTTATGACTCCGTTTGATATTATCAGTGGGACTTTTGCTGCTGCATCACTGATGACAGAGATTTTACCTCAGGTTTATATTTCGTGACCTTCAGAGATATGCACGAGCTACTACTTTCATCCGTCAGGCTACTCCTATTATGAGACTTAACAAAATTCATCACTGAGAACAAAGATTCACAAGCATGAATGAAACCAAAACACTGGTCGGATCTAGGAAGGCAGGGAGAGTTAAGGCAGAGGCATAGAAATTGCTCTTCCCCTCTCTCGTCAATCCATGTCTATGGTCTTTAAGATCACTTGTTATGTAAAATTATTTATTTATCTAAGATGCACCTGCACTGAATTTATCTGAAAAATAAAAAAGTCGACATTAAGAAAAAAATTGTAAATGGAAGACTATAAGAGAGGGTTTCGCGTGCCAGCAAAAGTTACTGGCGTGCCATGTTTGGCACACGTGCCAGGGGTTGCCCACCCCTGGTCTAGGCTCTCTAATCCCCACTAGGCAGCTTCACTTTTATCTGTTTATACATTGTGTTTTCATACATGATTTTACTTTAAGAAAGGGTTCTACTCTTTAAAAAAAAGTCTGAACATCATTATTCTAAAAATGCTTATTTAGCCTTGGCTGGTGTGGTTCAGTGGTCTCAGGTTCGATTCCAGGTCAAGGGCATGTACCTGGGTTGTAGGTTCATTCCCCTGCCCTGGTTGGGGCATGTGCAGGAAGCAACCAATTGATATCTCTCTCTCTCATCAATATTACTTTCTCTTTCTCTCTCTCTCCTGCCCTCCCTCCTTTCCACTCTCTCTAAAAATCAATGGGAAAAATATCCTTGGGTGAGGATTAACAAAAAATAATAAAAATGCTTATTTTTATACAGTAGCAGCTTACCTGGGATTAACTTCAAGGTGGTAATTGCTTGCAATAGTGCTAATTTCAATTTTCTTTTTAGATGGAGTCTGTGGACAAAGAAAATAGATGTTTTTAACATTCATTTATTTGGCTAGCTCTCCTCTTTCCTGTATTTCACTGTTTCTTTTTATTATACTAGAGGCCCAGTGCATGAAATTCGTGCATTTGGGGGGGGGGGGTGTCCTTCAGCCCGGCCTGCACCCTCTCGCAATCAGGGACCCTCGGGGGATGTCCGACTGCCGGTTTAGGGCCCTTCAGCCCAGCAGTCAGATATCCCTCACAATCCGGGACCCTGGCTCCTAACTGCTCGCCTGCTTGCCTGCCTGCCTGACCGCCCCTAACCACTCTGCCTGCCTGATCGCCTGACCACCTGCCTGATCGCCCCTAACTGCTCGCCTGCCTGACCTCCCCTAACCACTCTGCCTGCCTGTCTGATCGCTCCTAACCGCCTCTGCCTTGGCCCCTGCCACCGCGGCTTTGTCTGGAATGACTTCTGGAAAGTTGTTCAGCTGTCTGGTCTAATTAGCATATTATGCTTTTATTATTATAAACAATTCATGCTTACTAAAATAAAATTTTAGAGAACTACCACTGTTTTAACTTAATCCCATTCTTTTATTACTGTATGACAAATTGTGTCATACACAGCCTGTTTTTATTGAGGTTACATTTTTCCTCTACCTCCAGAAATCTCCAAACCATTTTGTTATCAGATCACCTTTGCACACAACCTATATATGTCCTTTTACAGCCTTTCCCATAACACAGAAAAATAAACACACAAATATACACACACACAATCAGTATTTCTTGTCAAAAATAAAAGAGGCAAACATATTTCGCTGTTTTGCTTTTCCTACTTAACAATACAACTAGGCAATCCCTGTCAGACAAAGTGGAATAGGGTGTTAGAGTTGCATTTGAATCTATAACATGGGTGTCCCAAAAACTAGTTATATTGATGGGCATTTTATTTATTGCTTTTTGCCCTCTCAAACAATTCCACAATTAACATCCTTGCACATGTCTCCTACACTGCTTTCATTTCTATGGCAATAGATTCCCAATAAAGAATTTGCTCGATTGACAGGGATATTTCCTATACTTCTATTATGTATGTGTGTTTATATGTGTAATCAGTTTCCCTTCCAAAAAAATATTTAGCAATTCATTTTTCTCCTGGCAGTGAATATAATTCCCCAACATTCCCCAATTCCCCATCTTCAGTATTACATCATAACTTTAATTTTTGCCAGCTGATGAGTATATTTTATATATATATACACACACACACACACACACACACACATATATACCATAGTTAATATACATTATAAGATATGAAATATAAGAGTATATATATTACAGAATATATGTAATAGATTCACACTGCTTTTCCTTGACTATCACAAAGGTCAACATCTTTACATGTTTATTAGCTGTTTATATTTCTCTTCTGTGACTGTTTTTTATTCCATTTGCTACCAGGTTTTTGTCTTTTCCATTGTTGGTTTATAAAATCTTTTACCTAAAATGTTCCTTTCAAATATTTATAATCACTCGTTTTCCTATTGATTGTATGTGTTATCTTGTCATACAAATTTCAAAAATTCCTATATTTCCAAGTATATATATATTTTTTTCTATAGCGTCTATGTTTTCTGTCAAAAGGTGTTCTTGATCCATAGGCTGTTTAAAGAATTTTATTGAAAAGTTTAGTGTTTCACTTTAACAATTAAATCTTTACTTCATCTGGAATTTATTTTTATACATTAGGTATCAGAAATTCAACTTTTTAGGTTAGCACATTGTGCTTACTCACCCTTTTCCTATTGATCTGAAATAGATCCTCCATCTTATTTCTGGGCTATTAAGTTCCACTGACCTAATTCTCTGTACCCATGCCAATACAATACTGTTTTGATTATAGTAGCTTTAAAATATGATTTAATATCTGTTCATGTCAGTCCCACTTCCAAATCTTTTTAAGTTACTTTAGCCAGTCTCAGAAATCTATTATTTCATAGGTACTTTAAGAATTTCATATAATTAAAAAACAATTGGATTTTAATTAATCTTCATTGAAAGTTACACTCTGACTGGAGGAAAACAGATACTTTTAAATACTAAGTCACATATCTGAGACATACTGCATCTTTCCATTTGATCAGTTCTTGTTCTTTGTCCTTTTATGTTAAAGTTTCTCCCTACAGATTCCACACTTTTTTTATTAAATTTTTCCCTGCATATATTATAAGAATTTCCACCAGGATATATGTCAAACTCAATGTATCTAAAAACAAACTAATCGAAGAGTCAAGACAATATCTTCAATAAACGTTGGGGAAACTAGACAGATACATGCAAAAAACGAGACTAGACACCAACTTACACCATACTCAAAAATAAACTCAAAATGAATAAAAGACTTAAATGTTAAGTCATAAAACCATAAAGATCTTAGATATCTCTCATAGCAATATGTTTGCAGATACATCTCTTAGGGCAAAGGAAACTAAGGAGAAAATAAACAAATGGGACTACGTCAAAATAAAAAAGCTTCTGCATAGTGAAAGAAACCATCAACAAAATGAAAAGGGAGCCCAGTGTATAGGAGAACATATTTGGCAATGATACATCTGATAAACAGTTAATATCCAAAATATATAAGGAACGCATACAACTTAACAAAAGTAGACAAATGATCCAATCAAAAAGTGGGTAAAGGACCTAAATAGACACTTCTTCAAAGCGGACATTCAGATGGATGAGACATACGAAAAAATGCTCCAAGTCACTGATCATCAGAGAGATGAAAATTAGAACAATGAGATATCACCTCACACCAGTCAGAATAGCTACCATTAACAAATCAACAAATGACAAGTGCTAGCCAGGATGTGGAGAAAAGGGAGCACTAGTTCACTGTTGGTGGGAATGCAGACTGGTGCAGCAATTCTGGAAAACAGTATGGAGTTTCCTCAAAAAATTAAATATGAAAAAGAAAACTTAAATATGGAACTTCCATTTGACCCAGTGATCCCACTTGTAGGAATATATCCTAAGAAACCCAAAAGACCAAACAGAAAGAATGTATGCACCCCTAAGTTCATAGCAGAGCAATTTACAATAACTAATTTCTGGAAACAACCCAAGTGCACATCAGTAGATGAGTGGATAAAAAAGCAGTGGGCACTCTCCCTTCAGGAGCCTTTCCCCTCCTCCTTCCCTCCCCCTCCCCCCCAGGCAACAATAACAACAAAAAAAGCTGTGGTACATTTACACCATGGAATACTATGCAGCAGTAAAAAAGAAGGATCTCTTACCCTTTGAGACAGCATGGAGGGACCTGGAGAGTATTATGCTAAGCAAAATAAGCCAGTCAGAAAAAGACAAGTATCACATGATCGCACTCATATATGTAGAATCTAATGAACAAAATATACTGTTGAACAAAATAGATCCAGAGACACAGAAGCATGGAAGAGACTATGGAATCTCAGAGGGAAGGCGGGGGTGAGGGGGTGGTGAGGAGTAGGGGGGAGGTAGAAAGAGATCAACCAAAGAACTTGTATGCGTAACCCATGGACACAGACAATATGGTGGTGGAGGCCTGAGGCGAGGTTAGGCAATAAGGGGTCAATGGGAGAAAAAAGGGGACATATGTAATAGTTTCAACAATAAAGATTAAAAATTAAATAAACACAAGCTAATCAACATTAGCCTAAAATCTATCATCCTAAACATTCTAATAACACTACTTACCATCCAGTCATTCAGCACACATTTTTTTCAATGTCCTATATGTATAAGACAGTATAGCAATGGCTATGAAGGATATGAAAATGAATATGCCATATTCCCTATATAATTTCAAAATAAATACTATTTTGTCAAAGTAAAAGATGTAAAAGCTATAATAATATAACATAAGGCAAAACAAAGTAAGTACTCTTAAAGTACAAACTGTGTACTAGAAGGAAAAATTAGTTCTAATGGAGTTGTAGGGCACTCTGACAGCAGACATTCCAGCTAGATCTTCAACATGGTCTAGAAGGAAAGAGCATGAAAATGCACTGCATGATATGAAGCTGGAAAGCTCAGCCAGGGCAAGATTACAGGAACTCTGTTACGATCCCAGAGCCTCATGCCTCCTTTTCCAGACAGTCAACTGCCAATCTTTACCAAGTTCCCTTATTCCACGATTACAATTTCCCTCAAAATCATTCCCTTTTTTTCCATACCCACTATTGCTCTCAGAACAATGAGCTTTTAAAACCTTGAGTTCTAGTTCCAAATGAGCCACCGATTTTCTATGTAATTTAAAATGAACCCTACCACCACACCCTAATCTCCTGTTGCTCCTACTTCTCTAGAACATAACTGACTTTGGGCTGGTTATAATAATTAAGTCTATAAATCAGTAGCTCTCAATCCTGAACACCAGGATTATCTGTGAAATACTTACTTAAATCATATATGGGGCAGCAATGGGGGAGGGCAATGTATTGATGATGAGGATTGAAAATCCCTGCTATAAATATTTGGAGGGCTCAAAGTGAAATGCTTACTGTGATGGTCTGATGTTCAATTCTCAATTTTTCCACTCCAACACCATAAAGTTCACGTAGAATACACATAATTCTTGTCTTTTTACCAGCACCTGACGGACCATACACTAACAAATGAGGAAAGTCACCACACTGTACCTGGAAAAAGAAAAAAAATCAAACAATGAATGACGCATTTTCCTAATCACACAATTGTTCTGGGTAGAATTAAACTCTTTTTTTAAGTATCAATATTTTGTATCTCTACCTATGAAACTTCAAATATATATGTGTGTGTGTGTATGAGTATACATATATTTTTTTACATTTATGGAATGTTGATTATTCCCTGGCATTAATTTTATGTAATTATATACCTAGCATACATGCTTGATACAATACCGTATGCTAGAAAGTAAGAACTCCCAAACCTGGCTGACTGTCAAAATCTCCTAGAGAACTTTTTAAATTAAAAGACTGGTTGGTTATTAGATCCATTCCATCAAATTATGATTTAGTAACTGAAATTAATGTCTGTCTTAGTTTGGGTTTTCACACACAGTCCCTTTGATAAGAACCGAGTGCATTTGGCCTATTTGGGAAGTAAAGAAAAATTTTGTAGGGAAGCAATAGGAAAAGAAGGCAGAGTGTATTATCAACTTAAATACCATTCTGGGCACATGAGACTTGATCCTGCTGGGGATCTTGAAGCTAAAGTTAAAATACACCACAGTATTACCCCTCTCAAGGGTGCAGAAGATGGAGTCTGACATGCTCTCTCTCATCAATCCTTTGTTAAAGCTAGACTGGAAAAGTGGACAGGGAGTAGTGAACATTAATTCCCAAGTATTTCAAATCAATTTAGGGGTGTCAGCAAGAGAAAGCCTCAGGAAGTGCAAATACAGGGAGGTGAAAGTCAGTCTGTGTGCACTTACAAGAAAGAGCAAGGGGACAAAGTAGAGCACCGATAGTGCTGCATTACAGTGAAAGACTGTGTTTTTTATAACGTTTCCCAGGTGACACTGATGATCAGTCTGGTTTAGGAATTTATAATATGAAAGGCTATAAAGATGATGAAAACACATCTGTGCCTCGGATATATAAAATCTTGTGGAGCAAAAGTTTTGTAAGTAACCATTATAGAAAAAATAAGTATCTTAAGAGAAGTACTTATTACAGTAAATTTTAACACTTTGTAAACTCATCTAACTCTGGCACTGAAAAAAAATGTCTCAAGGAAAGAGACTATTCAACTAATAATACATACTCCTCAAATACTAGCTGCCTTTGTTTTTTAATCTTCAATCTAATCACTCCCCAATATGCATTGCAGGCTGATTAGTGCATGTTTGACAGTAATAAGTGGTTTGACGCCTGCCACCAGGTGTTTTCCTGTTAGAACACACAATGCAGTCCCGTTTTCTTTGTCCCACATCGGGAATATGTAGTTTATTGTTTAATCCGACACAAAACCCGCTGACATTTCTTGTATATATCTTAGTAATTTTACGATATTTTGATTTAATTTCTTGTGCCATTTCAAGATAAAACTTCAGGGAAACATGCATGTCTCAAAAAGTTGCGTTGAAATAACTCAATTCCCCGTAATCACTAATAAACTGCAATGTCCCCTGAGAGGGGACATCCGAGTGATATGCTAGAATTCCGATGTCCCCTGAGAGGGGACAGCGGAGTGCAAAGGGTTAAGTAAGCTGGTTTAAAAAAATCAGTGGGATGACGTCACTTCTCTGCTCCAAACCTTCCGAAGGCTTCCCACCCACCTCTGTGGAATTTACTGCATTTGCACCCCGTCCCAAACACACACCCCATTTCCTCTTCCTCCTCCCTCTGCCCACTATTACCCAGCTACACCGGCTGGAGGACCCCAGAAGCTGCGCACACTCCTGCCTCCGAGACTCTGTGCTTGCTGGTCCCTCCACCCGTTCCCGCTGCCCCGCGTCTGTACCCGGGTTTTCTCACTCCATCTGGGACTCGTCTGGGCTCAGACGACAGTTCTCAGCCAGCCTATCCTTGTTTACCGGCGCGACCTTCGCCCCCACCCCCCCTTTCCCCTTCACTGTTTTATTGTTCCCCACAGCAGCCGTCACCTCCAGCGGCGGCGGGGCCAACGCCGGAGCCCGGCCGCCCTCCCCGCGCCCCCGCCGGGCGCCTCACCAGGCTGCGCAACCCGGCCGCCTGCTCCCTGTGGTAGTCCAGCCGCGCCAGCGAGCAGGGCCGGTACTTGTCCGCCCAGAGGCTCATGGCTGGTGGGTTCCCGGGCCGGACGCTCGAAAGTCCCCGCGCGCGCGCTCCGCACCCAGCTGCCCCGGCAGCTTCTGCGCACGACTCAAATCTCGTGACGTCACTACCGGCCGCGGGCGCGGAAACGCCTTCAGGACCTTTCTTACTACGGAAGCCTAGTGCGGACAGAATTGGCCGCGGCCTCGTCCCCTTGTCATCCTGTTCGTTCTAATCATTTCCCTTTGTTCTCGCCCTGTGTGATAGTTCAGGAACTATCCAGCAAAACTTGAAATTTGGCTCTGATATTCTAGGCGTCGAATCTCTGGGTACCTTAGAGAAGCTACTCTCCTTGATTCATTTCGTTATTCATTTGAAACTTACAAAATATTTACTGTGTCGAACTCTGTTCTTGACACTAGAATATGTCCGGGTTGTGGCTTTTCTCACTTGACAGGCACCCTATAATGTATTGAATAAATTGCTAAAAAGAGATCTAAACTTTACTATCTTTCCTTACCTCCATTCTTTGAGGTTCTTACTGGATTGAAAGCAAAACAATCTAAAGGTCATGAAAAGCTACAGAAATGTGGCCTGTAGTAGAAAAGACATGTGAAAAATCAGACAGAGGCCGAAAAACCAGGACTACAGGCTTTATTAGAGGAGAAGCACCTGCCGGGCTGTCTCACAAGGAGAGAGCAGCAACATGTGCAGGGGTGGGCACACCTTTTGAGGGGCGGAATGGGAAGGGGTGGGGGGCTTAGTGTACTCGGCGCACACTGATTGGTGGCTTACTGCATTGTCCATATAGGACAAGGGCTTAGGGTATTTGGCAGGTGTGGATTGGTGGTCCAATGTATAGTCCATATAAGGTACCTGGTTAGTCACTCAGGTATTTCTGGGCTGCAGGTTATGTCATACCCCGCCCACCAGTTGGGGGAAGGGAGGATCTATCAATAAGGGTAACAAACTATTCTAAGTCCAGAATGTTTGAAAGCCCTTTTGATTAAAATGAGGGGAAAAATGTGAAACCCTTGGGAAAATATTTTGCATATCAAACCTATATAAAATGTTCATTATGCCTCTCAAATTATACCTCTCAAATGCACTTTCTAGTTGTACATAATATTAATTCCTCATTTAGTTTGTACTTTTAGTTTACATATTGTTCAGAATCCTAAATGCTGTCATTTGATTGCAAGGTCTCCAGAACAGGAATTGATTCTCAAATATGTTTAATAAGCTTATATCAAAGTGCCTTTACTCATTTATTTAAACAACATGAACTTATTGCAGTCTTCTTTTTAATATATTTTTATTGGTTTTCAGAGAGTAAGGGAGAGGGAGAGAGAGAGATAGAAACATCAATGATGAAAGAGAGAGAGTCATTGATGGGCTGCCTCCTGCACACCCCCTACTGGGGATTGAGCCTGCAACCTGGGCATGTGCCCTTGACTGGAATTGAACCCGGGACCCTTCAGTCTGCAGGCAGATGTTCTATCCACTGAGCCAAACCAGCTAGGGCTATTGCAGTCTTTTATTTACCATTATACTTACTGAGTTATTCCTGTAAGATATTACTAGACACAATAAATAACACCACCAAGTAAAAGATATAATTCCTGTTCTCAAGAAACTTTCTGAAACAAGCCTGTAAAGCTTCAACCTCAGGTCCTTTGCACTTACAATCTCCTCTTTCTGAACCACTGTTATCCAAATGTCAATAGAGCTCTGTCCCTCAATTCATTCAGGGTGTTTTCTCAAATTCATCTCTTTAGTGAGGTCTCCCTGACCACATTATGTAATACTGCACAACTCTTCACACTCCCTAGGCTACTCCCTATTGAATTGGGATGGAAGGAAGAGTGTTTGAAATTAGAAGGTAAAGGAAATAGGAAGCAAGAGTATTGAAACATCATCTATATGGATATTGGAATCAAGAAAAGTAATAATGGAAATAATTACTCAGAAGAAAGTGAACCATGTACTAAATGATCAATGAATTGACAAGAGTAACTATGAGCATGACAAAGTCAACAAGGAGTGGTAATAGAGAGTGGAGTTTGAAGACATGTGTTGTTGTTGTTGTTTTAATCCTTATCCTAGGATATGGTTTTATTGATTTTAGAGAGAGGAAGGGGAGAAAGAGAGAGAGAGAGAGAGAGAGAGAGAGAGAGAGAGATTGGTTGCCTCCCTTACTCACCCTGACCTGGGATCAAACCTAAAACCTCTGGTGTACGGGATGACACTCCAATCAGCTGAGCCACCCTGACAGGGCTGAAAAGTGTTTTCAAAGTTACCAGAGGTTTTAAGGAAGGAAAAATGGTGTGGAGGGGACAACAAAACACACAAAAGACACTTCGCTCAACTAGGGTTGCCAGATTTTACACATATAAATACAGAAGCCCCAATTTCATTTTAAATTCAGATAGCTTTTTAATATTATTGAATATTACTGCAAATATTGGACGGGCATACCTATGCAAAAAACATACATTGTTTTTTTTTAATTAAAATCTAATTGGGTACCCTGTATTTTATGTGGCAATCCTCCTCCAGACCCTTAAATATTTGGGGTGCAAAAAAATTGCTATGAGAAAATAGGATCCTCTGAGGAGAGCCAGAACATGAAAGAAGTCTTCAGAGAAGAGATTATGAATATAAATCAGTGGCCGGCAAACTACAGCTCCCATCACTCAGTGGCTCAGATTCCTCAGCTCTAAAATGGGGTTGATAAAACCTGCTTTACATGGCTCATTTGAGAAATAAGTGAGGTAATGTAAACATCTAGCACAAAGAAGTCACTCAGTAATTAGTGGTTATATTTTAACTACAGGCCCGGTGCATGAAATTTGTGCACTGGGGGGTGGGGTTCCCTCAGCCCAGCCTGCCCTTCTCACAGTCCGGGAGCCCTCAGTGGATGTCCTACTGACTGCCACAGTCTGACAGCAGAGGCTCGGAGCAGGCGTCCTGTGTGTGTGTGTGTGTGTGTGTGTGTGTATGTGTGTGTATGTGTCCGCTGGGTGCCTGCCCCCAGCCTCAGTGGAGGCTCAGAGCAGGCGCTGTATGTGTGTGTGTGAGTGTGTGTGTGTGTGTGTGTGTGTGTGTCTGCTGGGGGCCTGCCACCAGCCACACCATGGAGTCTTGGAGCAGGCGCCCCTCTGTGTTGATCTCTCAGGCTCCTGGCCTCCACTGCATGTTTTTCTCTCCCTTGAGCTGTGGCCAGGGTGGGGTGCTGCCTGCAGGCTGCACTTTCCTGCTCATGGATCACCGGATCACTTCAGACACCAAGGGGCAGGCCCTGCTGGGTGCTGCCTGTGGGGAACTTTCCTGCTCTGGGATCGCCATGGCATCCCAAGAGCAGGCCCACCTAGGGCAGGCCGCTCTCCCGCACTTTGCCTGCTCCTGGGATCGCCATGGGATCCCAAGGAGCAGGCCCACCTGGGGCCCGCCACCCTCCGCACTTGCCTGCTCTGGGATCACAATGGGGTCCCAGCTGGCAGCGGGGCTTATGTGGCACACGGGGGTCCCGGCTGGGGGTGGGGCTTAGGTGACGCGATCGCGCTGCCTAAGCCCGGCGTCCTTGGCCGCACCTGGCCTGGATGGCATCTGGCGCTGGCCAGCTAAATCTGCACCAAAGATAAATCTGCACTGAGTTTATCTGAACAAAAATGATAAATCTATCATCTTGTACCTGTAACTGAGGACTAGGCAGAACCAACCAAAACTTCCAAATGACCTCAAGATGAAGGATTACATTCCCTGTACTTTTCTGCTCCTAACTCTTGGCAGTTTATTCCAATGCACCTCTCTGGGGAAAACCTGCAATGGTTCTTGCCAAAATCAGGAGTAAGGTCCTTCTATAGCAGTGGTTCTCAACCTTCCTGGTGCTGCAACCCTTTAATACAGTTCCTCATGTTGCGGTGATCCCCAATTTCATTGTTACAAATTAAACATAATTAAAGCATAGTGATTAATCACAAAACAATATGTAATTATATATGTGTTTTCCGATGGTCTTAGGTGACCCCTGTGAAAGGGCCATTCGGCCCCCAAAGGGATCGCGACCCACAGGTTGAGAACTGCTGTTCTACAGGCTAAATATAATTTTGGTTATTTAAAGAGGAGTGATAAGGCAGATATGTCATGATCTAAGAGGCCTAGAGACTAGTCAAGGGGTGCATGCAATTTTACTTCCTAAAAAAAAAAATTATCACTTTGGCTTCACCACATGCTTGTAAGTTTTCTTTTTCAAGTGGTTGGGTAGATAGGGCTCTTTTATTTTTTTAGAGAGAGTGGAAGGAGGAAGGAAGGCGAGAGAGAGAGAAACATTTATGTGAGATAGACACATTGATCGGTTGCCTCCTTTTCAGAGAGTAAACTTAGCAAATTTTGTTGGCATCTGCTTCACTTCTATTTGAAAGTAAGCAAATTTTTGGCCCATTTTTCTTTTATTTTTTATCCACTAAGCCAAACAGGATAGGGCTCTTTTATTTTTTTAGAGAGAGTGGAAGGAGGAAGGAAGGAGAGAGAGAGAGAAACATTTATGTGAGATAGACACATCGATCGGTTGCCTCCTGCACAGGCCCCTACCCGGGCTGGGATCAGGCCTGCAACCCAGGTACATGCCCTTGACAGGGAGTAGAACCTGGACCCTTCAGTCCACGGGCTGATGCTCCAACCACTGAGCCAAACCTGCCAGGGCTGGCCCTTTTTTTTCCTTATAATTTACTCTCAGATTGGCAGTGATAGTGTCCAGTTATAATTCCATTTCTTTATTTGAGACAAAACGAATGGGCAAATCCTTCTCCCAACTTTATAACATTAAGTAGTAAGCTAGAAAAAAATTTGAACAGAGATTTTCCACAGGAACATTATATTATGTCACATTTCTTTTGGGAAACTATATGAAAATTATCTTTCTGAAATACCGTAATTGTGCATAAATCATGGTGCAAATAATGAGAATGGTAGCTTAATGCATCCCAAGAGAGGAACAAAGTGTGAAATTTATGGTAAATTGTGGCAGAAGTAATGTTCTGTGCTCAATATATCTTTCCTCTATCTCTTCGATACAAGTGTATTTCTTCCAGCCTCCTCTGTTGTTAGTG